AAGAGGAGAGACTGCTGAAATCATTCAGATAACTTTCTATATAAATATGCTGACACAAAACCTAAAGAATACCAGATTTAGGACAAATATAAAGGATATGACCTAAAATGACCAGATTCAGAACTTAAATGACACATAACCTATACCAGATTTAGAAAATAAATGTAAAAGATTGACACGTAAGCTAAAAAAACCCCCCTGCTTTGGAACTTAAATAAATAAATGACACAAAACTTTAAAAAATACCTGCTTTGGGACTTAAATAAATAAATAATTGACACAAAACTTAAAAATTACCTGCTTTGGAACTTAAATAAATAAATAATTGACACAAAACTTAAAAAAAATTACCTGCTTTGGAACTTAAATAAATAAATAAATGACACAAAACTAAAAAAAAAAAAAAAAAACCTGCTTTAGAACTTAAATAAATTAATAAATAATTGACACAAAACTTAAAAAAATTACCTGCCTTGGTACTTAAATAAATAAATAAATGACACAAAACTTTAAAAAAAAAAAACCTGCTTTAGAACTTAAATAAATAAATGAAACAAAACTTTAAAAAAACTGCTTTGGAACTTAAATAAATTAATAAATAAATAAATGGCACAAAACTGCTTTGGAACTTAAATAAATAAATAAATAAATAAATGACACAAAACTTTAAAAAAAAAAACCTGCTTTGGAACTTAAATAAATAAATAAATAAATGACACAAAACTTAAAAAAAAAAACCTGCTTTGGAACTTAAATAAATAAATAAATAAATAAATGATACAAAACTTTAAAAAACTGCTTTGGAACTTAAATAAATAAATAAATGACACAAAATTTAAAAAAAAACTACTTTGGAACTTAAATAAATAAATAAATGACACAAAACTTAAAAAAATACTTGCTTTGGAACTTAAATAAATAAATAATTGACACAAAACTTAAAAAAATTACCTGCTTTGGAACTTAAATAAATAAATAAATAAATGACACAAAACTTAAAAAAAAAAAACCTGCTTTAGAACTTAAATAAATAAATGATACAAAACTTAAAAAAAACTGCGTTGGAACTTAAATAAATTAATAAATAAATAAATGACACAAAACTTAAAAAAAACTGCGTTGGAACTTAAATAAATAAATAAATAAATAAATAAATGACACAAAACTAAAAAAAAAAAAAAAAACCTGCTTTGGAACTTAAGTAAATAAATAAATAAATGACACAAAACTTAAAAAAAAAACTGCGTTGGAACTTAAATAAATAAATAAATAAATAAATGACACAAAACTTAAAAAAAACTGCGTTGGAACTTAAATAAATAAATAAATAAATAAATGACACAAAACTAAAAAATACCTGCTTTGGAACTTAAATAAATAAATTACACAAAACGTAAAAAATACCTGCTTTGGAACTTAAATGAATAAATTACACAAAACTTAAAAAATAGCTTTGGAACTTAAATAAATAAATGACACCAAACTTAAAAAATACTTTGGAAAATGCTTTGGAAATTTAATAGATAAGTAGATTGATAAATAAATGCATGACACATTATAAATAACACTCTAAAAATTGCTGGGTTGTCTTAACCCAATTTTGGGTAAAATATGGACAAACCCAGCCATTGGGTCAAAAATGTAATTTAAAAATGTAAGTTGTAACCCAATGGCTGGGTTTTTCCATATTTTACCCATAATTGGCTTAAAACAACCCAGCATTTTTTAGAGTGTGATATGGAACTTTAAATACATATATGAATGCATGACGCATAACCTAATAAATGACCTGGTTTAGAACTCAGTCATGCAACTCTTTTAAAAGAAAATGTTTTTACAAAGAACGGATAATGGTTCTTCAGTTGCTGTTGCTGGGTTGATCGGGACACATTTTCCCTTTCATATAAATGGCCAAAAGTGTCCCAATCAACCTGAATTCACACTATATTGATGATTGTACTAAAAACATTGCTATCAGCTCAGGAACATTATACCAGAAGTCTCACACTGTAATCTTGGCTTTAATGATAGTGTTGGTGAGATGAGAGGTGACCCTGCCGTCTCCAACCCCTCCCGTCTGTCATCCATAAAAACAGGCTCCTGTCTGATTCCTCTCAGCTCACACACACACATCAAAGTCAGCCCCGGGTTTATCACGTATCAGGGCCCGGGGACAGCGGAAACGAGACGGGACCGTCCCCTAACACTGATCCTAGTGGAATATAGAAACCTACAATACAATTACAGAGAGATCAGTGACAGATAAGAGAGGAATGAGATCGGGGTGTTTGTTTGGCCTCTCGCTGAAAGAGAGAGACAGATAGAAATGAAGATATGATGAGAGAGTGTAAACAAATGATCTGCCCTTTGAACCTTTAAATGGGCTGAAGAGGGACCAATATTGACAGATCAATGATTTTATTCTCATTATTTGATTAGTTGAGATGATGAATGAACATTAGATAATCTCTCTCTGACTTCACTCTAAAAAATGCTGGGTTGTTTTAACCCAATTTTGGGTCAAATATGGAGAATCCCAGCCATTGGGTTACATTTTTAATTGACATCTTTTAACCCAATGTTGGAGTTTGTCCATTTTTGACCCAAAATTGGGTTAAAACAACCCAGCATTTTGTAGTGTTTGTGTTACATCATTGTAAAGGAGCTGCTTCCATTCATAATTTGTAATCATAATTTAAATAACAAAAAAAAAATGGTTTAGAAAAATAAATATCAAGACAGCCTATATGACAAATAACCTAAAACAATACCTGATTTAGAAAACATAAATAATTAATATACAATTATTTGACAAATAAGAAGAAAAAAATAAGGATTAAAAATACATGATTTAGAAAATATAATTAAAAATAAAATAAATGAATACCAAGACAGCCACACTAAATAAAAAAAAAAAACTGATTTAGAAAAAAAAAAACAATTAAATAAAAATAAATAAATAAATAATACCAAGCCAGCCTAAGAAATAACTTAAAAAAATACCTGATTTAGAAAAATAAATACCAAGATAGCCACCACAGTAAATGTCAAATAACTACTTGATTATAAGTTATAAATAAACAAATAAAATAAATAAAGATCACTGAAAGTGTTGCCAGCATCTAGCTTGCAGGTAATAAATCTCCTAGTGAACCTTTGTATGCATAAAATCTCCACCCTTGGCGCCGTGTTTCTGTTTTTTTCCCTTCATTGAGCCCAAAAGGGATCAAACCCTTCAGATCCTTTAGAAACAATAATGGGACAATCTGAGTCTGTTTTATTTGCTCGTCTGATAATCAAAAGTGTCTGGTGGGCTTTGAAATCCCGTATTCTTCAATAGTGGGACTGATCAACTTAATCTCCAGCAAGCAGCTGATAAACCAGATCAACTATGCGTAATGATCCCGTTGGGGTGTGTGAATAGATCCAAGGGCCGGCAGTTATCTCCATCAGTAGTTCTCTGCAGACTACTGTCTCCAAACTCGTGTAGTGTTTCGAAAACAGCCCATTAACCTCTACCTGCCACTTCACAAGAGCCGCAAGCTTTGATAGCAAAACAAGAGCCGTTTGCACACACTCACAGCGACATCTGACAAACTGGGAGAAACTGACAAACAAACAACGAATAAATAAATATATAAAAGTTGGTTTGGCAATCGTTTTTATTCTATAGACGAAAAAAAAACCCATCTGTGCTTATTCTATCAGCTTCATTTTGTTGTGCTGGAACTGTAAACAAACTAATAAATGCCTGATTTAACTCAAATAAATAAATGATTTAGAAATCAAATAAATAAATACATAACACATAACTGGGGAAAAAAAACCCAACTGATCTAGGAATTAAATAAATAAATACATGACACATAACTGAGAAAAACTGATTTAGAAATTAAATAAATACATAACAGAAACAAAATATTTAGAAATTAATTAAATAAATAAATGCATAACACAAAACTGAAAAGAAAATGATTTAGAAATTAAATAAATAAATATATTACTAAAAAATTTATTGAGAAATTAAATAAATAAATAACACAACAGAAAAAACATATTTCGAAATTAAATAAATAAATACATAACACATAACTGAAAAAACAAATATTTATAAATTAAATAAATAAATACATAACACATAACTGGAAAAAAATATTTAGAAATTAAATAAATAAATAAATAAATAACTGAAATTAAATAAATAAAACTTAGAAATTAAATAAATAAATAACACATAACTGAAAAGAAAATGATTTAGAAATTAAATAAATAAATACATAACTGAAAAAAAGATTGAGAAATTAAATAAATAAATAACACAACAGAAAAAACATATTTAGAAATTAAATAAATAAATACATAACAAATAACTAAAAAAACAAATATTTCGAAATTAAATAAATAAATACATAACACATAACTGGAAAAAATTTTTCGAAATTAAATAAATAAATAAATAAATAACTGAAATTAAATAAATAAAACTTAGAAATGAAATAAATAAATAACACATAACTGAAAAGAAAATGATTTAGAAATGAAATAAATAAATACATAACTGAAAAAAAGATTGAGAAATGAAATAAATAACACATAACTGAAAAAAAATGATTTAGAAATAAAATAAATAAATACATAACACATAACTGAAAAAATGTGATTTAGAAATTAAATAAATAAATGACAAATAACCTAAAAAAAACTGATTTAGAATTTTAAAAATTCTAAAACATTCTTAGAAAGAAAGAACGTTTTTATGTGGATTTATATTTGTGGACATTATACAATGATGCTTTCTCAATCAGTTTGAAGAGCTTTTCATTGGTTTCTCATGAAGCACTAAAACTATTTCACTTTTAAGTTTTCGTTATGAATTCAATGACTCTGTTTTTAACCTTGAACTTCCTCCATCAGACTCCTTCTAACGTGGACATATGAAATGTCCCCCCCCACACACACACACACACACACGCACACACCTCAGCGAGGAGACGGGATCAGAGATGGTTTTAGGGAGGGGATTACATCTCCAGACTTACTGGTGCCAGGAGTTAATGGGTTCACTCAAGGCCGATTGAGACGTCTTCATTACCACACTTGTGAAAACTGAAGGGGTGGAGATCAGGACAGGGGAGGATGTTTCCTTTGATCCGGGCCAAGTGAATTGTAAATGAGCTGGGATTAGCCCTATAAATACTTGAGCCTCATGCTGGAGGTGTTGATCAGTGAACCCAAAGCCACGCTTATCAGAACACAAACACAGACCTGACTCGCTCAGTCACAGGACTTGACTTCTGGAAACTCACCCCAAAGAAGAACAACTGCCTTACCTTGCTTCATACCGGATATTTGTCTTTTCTTTGCTGGATTTGGACACGTTGTCTGCGATGAAGGGGCATTTTTCCATCGAGTGGCTCTCTCAGAGCAGCCAGGCCTTGTGCAGCTCGCCATCCACACGTCCCTCGAACTCTTGGGACGGCCCGAGCACCTCCGGCACGGCATCCGAGAGCCTTCCCGGCTTCTACGGCAGATGGAGACCGGAAAACGCGGAGGCTCAGGAGAAACGTGTGGAGCCAGCGCGGCCGGGAAACAGTTCGCTGTGTGCATCTACGCAAGAGACAAATGACAACAAGATCATCCAGCAACACACTCACGGTAAAATGCTTTTCCAATGATCCAAAAGTACTATTGTTTTTCATATAATTAACAGTAATTTAAATTGTAAAGCTTTTTTTTAAAATAGAAAAACTCTTCTTTTAAATACAGATTTAAAATACTCATTGTATATTTAATTTAATTAACTTGTTTTTAATTTAATTATCTGATGTAACGATTCTCCTGATCCTCCATGTTTTCTGAATCATGTTATAGTTGCAATAGTTAAAAGTAAAAAAGTAAGCTTTGCCAAACACAGGAATAAAAGACATTTTAAATAGAAAACTGTTATTTTACATTTTAAATTCAAATTCTAAAACACTATTGTTATTTTTTTGTATTGAATTAGTTTAAAAACTAGAAATATTCTCTAACATGGTAACAATGGTTAAAAGTACTATTAAAATACTGTTATAATAATAAAATAAAAAGTATAAAGCATTTCATGACATTTTGTTAGCTTATTTTTTATTTTTATTAACAGTTTACAAAGAATCTACGATGTTAATCTAATTTTGTGATTTGTTTCTACATTTTCTTTAAATTCTTCAAATTTAAATGCACGCGTTTCAAATTTAAATGCACATGTATAGTTTTTTTTCTTTCCCTCTTGCAAAGTGTTTTTTTGTGACCTCACCTCTATATTGATCTGTATATGAATCTGTGTTTGTGTTCTCATAGCTTCAGAGGCAGGTTTCAGCAGCAGCACGGAGGAGGAGGAGACGTCCGGGTACGAGAGCGAGGGGGGCCGTTCTCTCTCACCTGGGGCCCTCAAAGAACCGGCTCCATCCGCATCTCCCTCTACTGGCCGCAGACCCCGAACAGCGTTCACCGCCGAGCAGATCAACAGTCTGGAGAAAGCCTTCAAGAGGAACGCTTATCTGGGAGCCCAGGACAAAGCTGAGCTCTGCAAAAGACTCAATCTGTCTGATAAACAGGTATGAGGTTGATTCATTTTTATGGTAACACCAAACAATAAGGTTACATTTGTGAACAACATTAGTTAACATGAACTAAAAAATGTAAAATACTTCTTAAGCATTTATTAATCTCAGGGTATGTGTAGTAAACTTTGACTTTTGCCTTTTTGAGAAGTTTTGTGTACAGACGACAACATTGTAAAAACAACCCCCATTCACACAGAACGACAAAAATAACTAAAAACGCTATATGTGCCACAAATTCCTGTTTTTGTAGTTTACACAGGACGAAACATCATTATCATATGAAAGAATGGCCAAAACGCATAAAAAGTGTTCTGTTTTTAGTTCAAAACGCTGATGTGTAAACGGCCCCTTTGTTAATGTTAATTTACACATTCACAACTGTATTATTAAAATCATAGGTTGTATTTGTTAACATTAGTTATAAACTGTGAACTTAATGGCGTTACCGTTTTCAGCTAAAACATTTAATCTTTTTTAACGGGATTCAAAGTGCATGTTTTGCACTTTTTTTGATCCGCCTCTGTTTAAACTACTAAAACGCGAATTTGTGAAAATGGTTGCGTCTTGCGCATGCGTATTACAGTCTATAGCCACGTGTTTCTTTACAATGTGCATCGCCATCTTCTGGCCAGCCACCTATGATTATACAGCCTTTTAGTCATTTCTGCGGATCCTTCGTTTCGACAACGTTGTCATTTGAAAAAAAAGAAAAGGAAAAACTTTTTCATTTTAGTGGCTCGTTGTCATGTAAACATAACATGAACAAACAACATTGTATATTGTTAATAACTTAGAGCTAACTTGGCTAACTCCTCGCACCAGAGCTAACATGAACGAACAATGAACGTCTGTGTGTTTATTAACTAATATGTTAACAAACATTAACGTTAACAATTAACTTATCTTTGTTAGTTCGCTAACATTAACTAATTGGGCCTTATTATGTGCTATAAAAACTGATAATGTTTACAATAAGTGCTTCAAATTGATGACGTGCAAAATATGAACTTACGTTAATGCTTCTCTCCATCAGATCAGAAACTGGTTCCAGAACCGACGCATGAAGCTGAAACGGACCGTTCAGGACAGCCTGGCTCACGCATGCCAGGCTAAAGTGGCCTCGCATATGATGCATTACTCCGACCTGCACGGTTTCCGAGCCGCTCCGTATCCCAGCTTCTACGCGGGGGTCCAGGAGAGCGCGACACCTTACGGCTCCGGGTTCCACTACGGTCCTGCTGCCGCTTCCGGAGGCCTGCCGAGCCTGCCTGTGGACGCCCTGTATCAGTACAGCCAAATACAGAGCCTTCCCGTCCATCCCAGCAACCCCTCCATGATGACCCCGTACCCACCGTACCACTCTCACTACTACAGCACACAGTGAGAGGAGAGGCCGCCAGCAAACCCGCCATTTCTGCCTGTCACTGTTAGTCAAGGCTTTGTTTACATCTTTGCATTTGTGAATACAGGGTGAAGTGCAATAACAAATGTGATTTTTTTTGTTTGTTTTGAAGAATTATTTAAATATGTTTGTAAATCTTGAAAAATGTCTATGTGTACAAGAGGAGTGTATAAATAAATCGTTTTCTATTTGAGAAAATAGAATGTCTTATGTCTTTATGACCGCTTATGTCTTCTTTCGAAGGGTGTAAAGTGCTTAATTCACTTTTTTTAATGAATTTAAAGAAATTAATACTTTTATTTAGCGAAGATGCAACAAAATATTTTTTTATTGCAACTTAGTAAATGCTGTTCTTTTGAACTTTGTTTATCAAAGAGTCCTGAAAAAAATGCGTCATGGTTTCCATAAAAATATTAAGCAGCAGAACTTTTTTTTAACATTGATAATAATCAGAAATGGTTCTTGGGCAGCAAATCATTATATTCTGAAGGATCATGTGACACTGAAGACTGGAGAATGATGTTGAAAATTCAGCTTTGATCACAGGAATAAATTACATTTTGAAATGTTTTCAGAGTATAAAAGTTTTCAGATTTGAAAATTTTACTGTATTATATATATATATATATATATTAAATGCAGCCTTGGTGAGCAGAATGCCTCCTTTTTAAACATTGCACAAACATTTGAACACAAGTGTAGATATAATTTATACGGAATTGAAACTATCCTATTTAATCCTTACAATTATTATGATATAATAATTATACTATCAAAATATATTTTTTTTATCATGTCATTATGACAAATAGTTCCTCTAATAAAACATTTTTTTCTCTATCCTACAGCACATTTTAAAGTTACATGTTACTGTCAAATACATATGGCTACAGCCTTTTGTTAAATAACTAGTTGAAGAAACGTATAACTGATTATCAACTATAGTCAAATGTAAAATCAGGTTAAGGACTTGAATACTTTTACCTGAGCTCACTTGAAATACGTTTAAGAGTAAAATTGACAGCCCACCCTGAGGTATTTTCCTTGTACTTTTTGTTTCAAAAAACATAGACAATGGGAATATAGCTAAAAATATTTCTATACATTTATTCACATTGTCAGATCCAAGAATGACTATTATCATCCTATATTTTTAGTGTTCTAACGGCAGTCGTCAATGTCAAAATGATTGAGATGGCCAATGAAATTAAAGAAGACAGGGCTCACTGGTTACAGAAGTAGTCAACACAACACTTTAGTTTTAATGGTGAAAGAGTGCATGGGAAGATGCAAGTAGCTAAATATTTTACATTTCACAACTATTTTACTATAGAAACGAAACCACCGACAATATGTGATGGAAAGGTGTAACTACTGAACTATTTATGACATCATTTTTCACGAATCATGTAAATTATAACTGAAAGCAAGGAGACAAGAACCATTGTTTTAGACAAATATTTTAAATAAAAGGATTATTTGGAGCCTTGGTATCAGGATTCAATTATCACTATATCTCTTGCAGCAATTAGCACAGCATAAAGCAGCTAATGAAAGGAGTTTCTTGGGGATATGCATTGAAATTAATATCACACAAATGCACAAGATTTAGAAAAAAAAAGTATTTTATTGTATAAAAGACTTTTAAAAGCCACAAATGAAGCCCACACCTCAGAAAACCCCCATCCCTAAACCCAACTAAACAAAAGGCAGGATTAGTTTTCCTTTTTCCCCAGAACACGCAACACCCCCCCCTCCCCCCGTTATAATCATGGATACAGTACGTCAAACTCTAACCTCTGTTACGTTAAACTACACTTCCCAAACATTACCAAACAAATGCGGAAACAACAAAAACAACTGCTTTCTCAACGCTGATTGCTGTTGCTATACAAAGACGGAGTCGAACATCAATCCATCTTACACAGTTTTCTGCTGGCCCTTCTTTCCGATCAGGGACTTGTGAATGTGTGGAATCACACCTGTAGGGAAAGACGAAAACAGATGGAATTAAAATAATATCAGAACCAGTTTAACAACTACAACAACATCAGGGTTCAGTTTTTTGTTTTGTTTGTTTTTTATCACATTACGCAAATAAAACTCACCTCCGCCAGCAATGGTAGCTTTGATAAGCGAGTCCAACTCCTCATCGCCACGAATGGCCAGCTGTAAATGCCTTGGAGTGATACGCTTCACCTTCAGATCCTTGGAGGCATTTCCAGCCAACTCCAACACCTGCCAACATGACAATCACTGGGTTTGCATTTACTTTACAGATGCAGAGACGATAAATGCAAAATCACAGCCAGCCAACAACCTGCCAAAATGACATCAAACAGGCTTGTTTAACAAACGGTGCTAAAATAAAACCATTACCTCAGCAGTCAGGTACTCCAAGATAGCTGCGCTGTACACGGCCGCCGTGGCTCCAACACGACCATGGCTGGTAGTTCGGGTCTTCAGGTGCCTGTGGATACGACCTACAGGGAACTGAATCACATAAACCAAAGAAACGGTCAACATCATACAGTTAAATGTGACGGTCCATTTTTTTTCTCTTTGGAAGAGGAATCCATACTTGCAGACCAGCTCTTTGTGACCTGGAGATTGCTTTCGCCTTGGCTTTTCCGCTGTCCTTTCCAGCCTTTCCTCCTGCCTGCGGAAACACAAGAAAAAGGACGTATTACTCAAAAGTCCCACCAAAGCTCCAAGAAATTACATTGTGCATGTTTTCTTCAGAACAAACTAAACAAAAGGTATCAACATCTAGTGAATCGGGATCATTGTGAGTTACGTTGGCAATGTGTATTGTTATACGCCATTCTCAAGAAAGAAGTGATAAAACAAACAAAAAAAAGGTTCTTAAAAAAAAGCTTGAGCTTATTTAAGTTTATCTGACCAAGATACAGCAAACAACATAAGAAAATGCCTATGGTTTGACTTTTATTTGACTACGTTACGTTATCTCATACGTTAACGTTACTCTACCAACTTAAACATGTAAGATAACCACCAGCCAGAGTCATAATGCGTTTTTAGGCGCTAAATTTATTTTAACCCGGTAAACTTTGTCCCGCATTCCAAATATTACATTTACACACGGATTTACCGGATTTTTGATTCCTTATTAAGATCAATACACCAAATTTACTTTATTCCCGTGGTCGGCGCTCTATTACCAAAACACTGCAACCCACAAACACTACGGGCTTATTAAAAGCCATCACGTGCACAAAATTAAAGCACTGCACAATTACGGCTTATACAGAACACATCGGTCCGAGCTAAGATTTATTTGAGAATTTAGACAATTAAAAACTTATTTTACCATATCGTCAGACGAGCTTCTTCTCTTTTCGCTTGAAACGGAGGGAAAACACAATGATGCCCACTTCAGCGATAGCGCGCCACGGTCCAGCGTTATAACCAATCAGCGTGCTCCGTCTTGGTTTGAAATAGTGATTTCGTCCAATCACAGAGCGTTTCACTGTGTGGGTGTTTTTTAGTTCTCTTTTTTTTTTTTTTTGTTCACGGACCCCCAGCGCACCAGTATTGTGCGCATGCGTGCCGCCGTAATCTTTCATTACATTAAAATCGATTAAACTATTATCTTGAAGTGTTGTAAATGTTTCAATCACATGAACACATGTCTGATATCTAGTGTAGCCTATGGTGATGTCAAAGCTACAATGAAAAACAAATAAATATTGAGAGTAGCCTACGTGTTGTCTTTTAGCCACTTTTTTGTTGTCTTTAGGCTTCTTTCTTATCAGCTCCTTTTCAACACCCCTAAACTGTAAAAGGGCCCTCGTGAGTTTCTTTCATTTTGTTGACTTTGACAACACTGTGATATTTTAGCTACTAATAGACAACAGGAGGTGTAGCTTATAATGCGCAACTAAATAAAACAAACAGGTTTTTAATCCCTTTATGCAATACTAGTAAACAGAGCAAGTGAGGAATACAGTTTGTTAGTCCTTTGTATTTTCTTATTATTTAATGGCTCTTCCTCTTCATCCCCATCTTCCTCTTTCAGTTCTCTTTTACATGAAGTTGTGGGAATTTGTCTCCCTCTGTTAATATTTCACCAGCTGTTAAATGCCCATATAAAATGTTTTCCAAGTGTTTACAGTGTTTATATCCATATATTTTTTTAATGTAGGACCCATGATGAGCAGCAGAGTAATACATAATTGGTGTATTATTTAAGAAATAATCAAAAATAACTTTTGAGTCAAATGAAATATGTTTTGCTCGTCTTACTATAACATTCAATATTTATACTATTAATTCTCAGTTTGGCATTTATTGGCATCACTAAAGCACATAAGAAATGTGTTGGAAAGAGCAATAATGAAAGCAATTTGCAATCATGTACAAATAAAACATTTGTCTTATTCAACCATATATTGTTTAGCCTTGAATGCCTTACAGTTAAAAGAAATACAACAAGTGTAATAATTATTCATGCGCACAACACTTATTTATGTGTCACATTAACTTTATCTGCCAGGAAATGTCACATAATAAAAATATATTTAAAAATGACATAAATTCCAGTGCTTTCTAAGCATTACATGTTTTTAGCGCTTATGTTTTTAGTTTGTTCCAAAAGATGTAGGCTACATATCATTTAAAGTTATTTATCAAATTTGAAAAATTTGGTTAGCACTGGGTCCACTTCTTTTTATGTATAAGGTATTTTCCTAATAAAATAAATAACTGTATAATATGTTGTTCTTTATTGCAAATTGTCTTAGTATAAAAAAATCACATTTATAGCCTACTATCATGTTTACGTTTTCTATTAAAAGGATTGTTCACTTTGAAATTATTTTAGCTTACCTCAAGGGCATCCAAGATGTAGGTGTCTTTGTTTCCACAGTATTTTCAATTTTGATATTTTTTAGGTCAAACCGGTCTTGTCTGTCAGTCATATAATGCAGGTCTATGGTCACCACCTCAAAGAGCATGCACAGAGAAGTCCAAATTAAACATGATTTAATGACTCGTAAATGTAAGTACACATTGATGAGAAAATGAACAGTATTTATATCGTTTTTACCTCTTTTAACCACAGCCACGTCCAAGTGATCTGAAGCCACGGGCGTTTCGGTCTGCGCAAGGGCCGGAAAGTGCCGGAAGTGATCTCTTGCGCGGTTGCGAAAAAAAATTCAACGTTGTCTGTTGATATCGAAATCTTCTTCCATTGCAATTTCCTGTATATCTAAATATGTTTAGATCTTCACAGTGAAGGGCAACACTTCTGAAATCTCTGTGTAAACAATGATGAACTTGGACGTGACTGTTAGAGGTAAAAACGATATAAATACTGTTCGTTTTCTCACACAAACTGCTCGTTTCTTGTCTTAGGCCATCAATGTGTACTTACATTTACGAGTCATTAAATCATGTTCTTTGAGGTGGTGACCATAGACCTCCATTATATGACTGACAGACAAGAACGGTTTGACCTAAAAATATCAAAATTGAAAGTACTGTGGAAACAAAGACCCCTACATCTTGGATGCACTTGAGGTAAGATAAAACATATCAAAAATTTATTTCAAAGTAAACTATCCCTTTAATAATGTTTTCTAAATATTGAGTAACTACAGTCAAAAAAAACAGATGCGAGTAGTTTGTTTAGTGCACAAAATTCACAGGTAGCCTAAATGTTAAGCTTAAATCTTTCCAAAACACAGGATATATTGTGTAGTAGCTATCTTGTTAAACACTTCGTTATTTTTTTCTGAAAAGACACAGATCAAAGAGCATTTTAAAACACCAACATTACCAATGAAAATGTTACCCAAAAATGTTCCATGTTGATTTTCACTGAATTAGAGTTGGAATCTTTGGAATCGCGTCAAGAAAGTTAATTTTTTGTAGAAATTCAGTATATAACAAATATCCATTGGAATGGACCAATTGTCTTACTAAAATAATTCCTTTGTTGAATAAAGTAAAGGGAGTTTTTAAATAATATGTCTTTGTCATTCCATATGAAATAATTGTGCTTATAACCCAGTGCTGATGACACGTATGCTGATGAAAAATGAACAAGAAACCTAGAAAAAGTGCCAGCTTGGCTTGATGCTTCTTGTTTAAACTTAAATACTAAAAAGACAAAGTCTATGTGTTTTTCAATAAATAAATAGCTAGCAGAATCCTTAAACATTAGAATTAAAGATGAGGTTTTTTGGACATGTATCAGAGGAAAAATATAGCTTGGCATGATTTTAGATTCTCAGTTAAATTCATAAGTTAAAGTCATGTGAAAAAGATACGTAAAACGATTAAGACAAATCCGCTTCAAAATAATAAGAAACTGTTTAACATACGATCATGCTCTTTTGTTTTTAAACTCGATGATATCACACATATCCTGGATTTTAGATAGAAAGTATAAGTACCATTATTGTCAGATCTTAAGTAAATACAAGATTTTAAGCTTTGCTCATTTTGTCTTTCTATGCAAAGTTTGTGTTTAAATGTCTAAATAGTTGTGCACCTCAGGCCTTATGTAGGCCTACATGTTTTGAGTGATTGCATGAGTGCAGCAGAACTCTAATTTCACTGAACTCTCAGTGAAAGGTGTAAAATTATGGAATTCATTACCTGATCATTTCAAATCTGCTGCAGGTTTTAATATCTTTTTAAAAAGCCACTAAGTCTCTGTTAATTCAGGAACTAACTTGAGCTCGTTTAGTTTTTTTTTATTCCCCATTTTGTTATTTTTTCTTTCCATTTTTGTCTTTTGTCTGGATTTGTTTGCTGTTGTAACTGTAATTTTATAAAAACGTGTTGCAAATTAGCTTACAAGCACAATGAGAAACGCTTTGGATATCTGTTGTCACAGTTTTATCTATGTGTATTGTATCTGTCCCTATATAAATAAAACAGAGGAAAAAAATCCCTGCTTCATGCGCGCAACTCATTGACCTCGGGAATTAAACCACGACGTCACGGTTGACGTCATCGCGCACATGAAGGCGGAACTTCAGCAGCGGTTCTGCAGTCAGCCTTTACGTCATTTCGTAAATAGCTCATAATCCAAGTGTGTGAAAACGGCTGATCTTGGGTCAGATCTTAAAAGGGGATAGGATACGCAGAAAAATGCGTGCATATTTAGGATATAGGCTGGGTGCTGCACTTTATAAAATTGCTACGTCGATCAAGACAGATTATCTAGCCTATACGTTTTTATATAGGCCAGGAGAGATAAGATAGCCTATAATTTAATCAGTTTTATTAATATTAGGATATATAGATACTATATATGAATATTAATACAGATGAAATATGAGTGATGCCTCTGGGTCACATCCATATATATATATATATATATATATATATATATATATATATTGTAGTCAATAATACAATATAACATCTTGTTATATGTTTTATTCTATTTTATATTGATTTTATATATTTTTTAAGCACGTCATATTTACATGCATTTTCTGTGATTACTGCATTATGCACTGGCAAAACAAAGCAGTCGAATACATGATAAAATATGACGATTTAAAAAAAAAAAAAAAGATATATTTCTCAGTTATCCTTCAAAGCTTCAGCTGAGCTCCAGAAGGACAGGAAATGCCTCCACACGAGGAGGAAATGTCTCTGACCAATGGAGCGCGCGCGCACCTCCCTCGTCCTGCGAATGACAAGCGCGCGGACCTATGAGTGACCCCGCGGGCGCGCGCCGCATGTTATTGGCAGATGTGAGGCCAATGCTGTGGTGCGTGCGTGCGTGCTGGAATAGCGCAGAGAGAGAGAGAGAGAGAGAGCGTTTCTCTGAGAGAGAAGTTGGCTGGAGGAGGTGCTGAAGATGGCGGATGGAGACAGTGGGAGCGAGCGCGGTGGCAGTAGCGGCGGCCCTCAGCACTTCCAGCGGGAGCAGGAGACCCAGGAGCTGGCGTCCAAGCGCCTGGACATCCAAAACAAGCGCTTCTACCTGGACGTCAAGCAGAACGCGAAGGGACGCTTCATCAAAATAGCGGAGGTGGGCGCTGGTGGCTCCAAGAGCCGCCTGACTCTCTCCATGTCCGTGGCGGCCGAGTTCCGCGACTACCTCGGGGATTTCATCGAGCACTACGCCCAGCTGGGGCCAAGCAGCCCGGAGCAGATCGCGCAATCGTCCGGCGGTGAGGACGGCGGCCCGCGGCGTGCGCTCAAGAGCGAGTTCTTGGTGCGCGAGAACCGTAAATACTACCTCGACTTGAAGGAGAACCAGCGCGGGAGGTTCCTGCGCATCCGCCAGACCGTCAACCGCGGTCCAGGCTTCGGCGTCGGCGGAGGAGGCGGTCCCGGAGGCAGCGTGCAGACCGGCCAGACCATCGCGCTCCCGGCGCAAGGCTTAATCGAGTTCCGAGACGCCCTGGCCAAGCTCATCGATGACTACGGCGGGGAGGACGAGGAGCTGAGCGGGGGGCACGGGGCCGCGGGGGGTTACGGCGAGCTTCCCGAGGGCACCTCCATCATGGTGGACTCCAAGAGGTTCTTTTTCGACGTGGGTTCCAACAAGTACGGCGTGTTCCTGCGGGTCAGCGAGGTCAAGCCCAGTTACAGGAACTCCATCACCATCCCCTTCAAGGCCTGGGGGAAGTTCGGAGGAGCTTTCTGCCGCTACGCCGAGGAGATGAAGGAGATCCAGGAGAGACACCGGGATAAGATGTACGAGAGGAGAGAGGAGTCCGAGGGCGAGGACGTGGACGACGACTGACCGCAGACCTCGCCAGGAGATTGACCACACGTGTGAAACAAGAAGTGCATGAACTGAACTCAAATAGCCTACTAAAATATTCATGGGACAGAAAACTAGATCTGTGAAGTTTCTATGTGGTGAGGGTTTCGGGAGGGGGGGGGGGGGTTGTCTGTATTGAAGCCATGGGGCGAAGGATGTCTCGTTGGGTATGACTTATTCCCGATGCTGCCCTGTCCCGTTAAACCAGCAAGTTTAATTGTCTTAGCTAACAATTAAACCTTTGTTACATCAACAACGCCAAGGCTGCTGAATTTCAGAAGCGGCCTGAATACGACAATACCAGGCTGTAAGGGTTCAACATGTTTCTAGAGGGGAGAAATTTACTATATATATATATATATATATATATATATATATATATATATATAGTGTCACTGGTATTCATGGTGTGTTTCCTACCCAGGCAGCATGGGACGTTAACAACTGTCCTCAAAACGTTACATCAGAAGTTCTCAGATTATTTAATTTCTTTCTTTTATTGACCGATGTTCCCAAAATTATTGTGCATCAACATGACTTTTATGGTTTGGCCAGTTTGAATGATGAAAAGTTTTAAATTCAGATTTGGAGGGGAATGTTTTGACCCCTGATTTTGTGTTGACACGTCTCAGCTGTAAACCAGTGACTTCCTTGAGGCGTTAGTAATGAAAATTGTTGCACGTTCAACCGGTGTTATCAAATAACACAATATTTTGGTTTTGGGGTCAACGTAGTATACAAAGAGTTTCGTGGTTTTCGAACTTGGGTCCAAGTCCCCTCTGAATATTTAAGGGCAGATCGCTTAAAGGACAGAGCGACATGGACGAGTGTATTTTCACCCCCGTCCCCTTTTCGTTGTCATATTTTTTTTTTTTAATTATGTAAGATTGTTCTTTATGAGAATAAGTAAACAAACCAGCATATTTTTGAATACATAGTAAAAAAAATATATATAAACTACCGAAGCTCAAGAAACTAATTTTGTAAAAAAGAAAAACAAGCTGGGATTGAAATATTGGATTTGTTTTGTAGAAGAGTATAGCATCATATATGAGATTATCCTTGCGAAACATCACCCCACCCACCCAAACTCCTCCCACAACCCCTTTGAGTTTACAGCACGCATACGTTTTCTTTCTACATGATTAATATCAAACGTCTATCCGGTGGCAACGTGCGTCCATTTCTGTGCATGCCCGTCCCGCATTTGCCTTTTTATTTAATTTATTGCTTTCTCTTGCGTAGTAACTGCAGCTATATTAATGCAATATTTTTGTTTAGCCTTTCACCAAAAATATTATAAGAATAACCATGTAGACCAGTGGGTTATGATGGAGAAAGATAGTTAATGTCGAGAATATTTCATCCGTGCACTTTAGCAAAAACATCAACTGCGATATGCTCGTATATCCACGGCGAAGAAAAAAAATTAAGAGAAAAAACAAAATCCCTTCCTGGGTGCAACAGTGTTTTGTGCTGGTGTGTAAAGCCTCCTTTAGCCTTCCATGCTGTTTTGTGTTAAATGGCAGCTGTTGAAGTCATGTGTATACTGCTGTGATCCTTTCAAGACGAATTGCAATGGATAGTTTGTTATGAAATATTCTCCCACACTTGTGTCTATCGGCTGCGTGATTGCTAACGGGATGGTCTTCTGTACTCTCGCGACTGCAGCAGCTGTTTCTCCTCAACGGCGAGCTGACTAGGCAGCAGGACGGCTATTTTAATGCGAGGAGCATTCCGTGGATTCGCTCTGAAGTGCGCCGACGCACAAGGGCCCGATTGTTGAGCCACTGCACGTTATTACATCAGCAGACTGCATTTGGTGCATGTGATGGGGAGCTGCCGCGGCCGTATAGTAGAGGGAGCGATGTCGTAACATTCAGCGTAGTGTTTTCTAGGACTAACCTTCTGAAACAGGCCCCGATTTGGCAGCCGAGCCCGGACGGCAATAGAAAGCGTGACACAGCAGCTGTTGGCAGGACATTCTTGCGTTCCCCTCCCCTCAGCTGCTGTTCGGCTTGAGCATTTGCAGACGGGAGGCACCACTCAGGACTCGTTTGTCGGAAGGAGATCCGCCGTGTGTCTAAATCAGCACCATTTGTAGATCACGTGTGCATTCATTTTGATTGTATGACCCATCTGTACTATTAGCGCAGTGAATGTGTCATGTCGAAGAACCAAGATGGTAGACTAATGTTGTTTAAAAAATGCAAATGACCAACAAAAAGCCATTTTTTTCCCCCTTTACTTTAAGATAAATCCCTGCTGGCTGCTAAATGTCAAAGTGGAGTTTGTAGTACGCATCGCAGCACTTTTATTTACTTCATTGACGTGTCCATTTAAAGGGATAGTTCACTTTGAAATACATTTTTGGTGTGTTTTATCTTACCTCAAGGCCATCCAAGATGTAGGCGTCTTTGTTTCCGCAGTAGTTTCAATTTTGATATTTTTTAGGTCAAACCGTTCTTGTCTGTCAGTCATATAATGAAGGTCTATGGTCACCACCTCAAAGAGCATGTACAGAGAAGTCCAAATTAAACATGATTTAATGACTCGAAAACGTAAGTACACAATGATGGCCTAAGACACGAAACGAGCAGTATTTATATCGTTTTTTATTGCCACAAAGCGCCCGCACCCTCAGATCACTTGGACGTGGCTGTGGTTACAAGAGGTAAAAACGTTTGTTTTCTCACGCAAACCGCTCGTTTCGTGTCTTAGGCCATCAATGTGTACTAACATTTACCAATCATTAAATCATGTTTAATTTGGACTTGTCTGTGCATGCTCTTTGAGGTGGTGACCATAGACCTCCATTATATGACTGACAGACAAGAACCAAAAGTTTGACCTAAATTGAAAATACTGTGAAAACAAAGACACCTACGTCTTGGATGCCCTTGAGGTAAGCTAAAACATACCAAAAATTAATTTCAAAGTGAACTATCCCTTTAAGATCTGGAATTTGGGCACAAATCTCTTGCAGAACACCAGAAATGGACTTTCTTTCGACTGAACTTGGCTGTGTTTATTGCAAATGTGTACTGGGAATACGTACTGTAAAGAATTGTTTTGTTTCCACCTTAATGTCACTTAAAAAAAAAACAAGGGGGACAGGAAGCAATACTCATCCATAGGGATGAGATTATGAGTTCATTTCCTGTCAGGCTTTTAGCCGACTCACAATTGGCTGATTTGTCTTCCTGTTTCCTGAGGTTGGGATTTGTGCAAAGTTCTGTGGGGCGTCCGCATACTTTTCAAACAAACAACAATACCTCTGTTCCACTGTACGAAAGATCGGAAAACTTCTGAAAGAATGTTCTGTTATTTCAGGCGACTCACCCGAGCTCTTAACAGCATCCATGTGTTGTGTTTTCCTTGGACACTGTACGCACAAAAGCAGCAACTAGTACAACAATCTTTATTGAATGGTAGCTATTTTTCCAATATATCTTGTGTTTTCAGCAGAGATTTTAACGTCGGAATGCCCTTTAAACTCAGGTTCTCGGCGTTCTCGGTATATATATTTTCTATCTGTTACTTGATGCTGAAGTTCCAGAGTGAGTTCACAGCTACTGCAGGACACTGTCAAGAGCTCAGGTCTCAGATACTCAAAGTATCTCCACCCATCCCATCAAGCCCCGTCCCACGCCAGACTGCCTCTCAAGAACCGGCAGCCTTCCCTTTTTCCCATGGCTGAACTTTTTTTTTTTTTTTTTTCTCTGAGATTTACAAGTCTATATTTAGAAAATGCTATGTATGTTTGTAACAGAATAAAGGAAATTATAAATGATGGAAAGCATAATACTGGCCTGGTGTTGTGTTTATGTAGATTGGTTGCTTTAAATATTTTGAATTAGATTTTATTTTAATATTTTCAGTTTGTATTAGTTTTAGTACATTTGTTTTGATTTTATTTTTAGTTCAACTTACTTTAGTTTATTGCCACGGTAACATACCAAAATTTTGTTTAAAGTGTTACTATTTATATTTTATTTCAATTAAAAAAATGTTTTGTAGTTTTAGTTCAACATAAAAAACTGTACCTATTTACTTCTATAAAAATGATAAAAACATTTGTCTAATAATAATAATAATAATCTTTAATCAAAATGTAACGACTTTAGTTTCAGAGTCCCACCTCTGAAATGACTGTTATTATTGGAAGATGTCACAAATCTCTATTATTTTTCAGCTGCTCCCCTCCAAATATCTCCATTCTGGAATTTAAGTCACACTTTTTTAAGGATCCAGTCAGTTAGTTACAGGTGGTTAAAAGTTTAACACCGGTCAATTTTAACATTGAGCTAATTGTTTTGTATATTTGGAGTGCTGTCAGTACAGACAAAAACATCAAATTGGTGTTGCATATCGCGGGCGAACTCGGCAATCGACTACTGTGGACTTCAACCGAAAACAGGAAGTAAATACAGTTATGTAAACTGGCTGAATTTTCATTAATATCAATTTCACATCTATTAATATCTTTCACATCTACTGCATTCTTATTGACGTGGTCACTCTTAATAACACCCCTCACATGGTTGTGCACTTGTAATGACAAATCAAGGATGTTAAGAGGCTAAAAGCAGGTTTAGAACATGCCCCATTGAAGTCAACAGGGTGCGAATTTTAAGAAGATAACACGGTGTAGGCCACACCGATTTTTGTAGTTTTTGTCTGTACTGACAGCACTACAAATGTACAAAAAAACGAGCTCAATGATCGAGTTCTCCTTTAACTGAAATAACATGGCATTATTAGGGTGTAAAATAGGTTAAAAACACTATTTAATATTTAAAATTGAGCCTTAATCTTTTCTGAGTGTAAGTGTGTGCTTGTAAACATATCTTACTCTAAAATTACTTTACTTGATTGATGTCACCTAGATGTCACAGATTTGGGATTAATATTAATATTAAGTAGCAGTTTAGTCAATGTTTTAAGCCGCTTAATGCTGTAATTTATTGGAATTGAATTCCACTTAATGTGTTATCAATTAGGCCTATGCACAAAAGCAAATGTTGTTTTTTTCTTGTTATTTAAAGCATTATTTGTGGGATACATTCTTGTTTTTAAAGGGTAAACTATGACGTTCAGCTTCCACATGACCCCCAAAAAGCCATTCTGTCGTACATTTAGTCGAATATCTTCTTTTATTATGCATAATGTCTAATGCCAACCAAGACTGTATTTATTTGACCAAAAATACAGTAAAATAGAAATATGCCTCATATCTGTTGTTTAATCCATAATACATTATTATTTGAATGGTATTGTAAGTTTAATTTTGACTTTGATGCATGACTTGCATAGTGTAAAAATGGCAGTGTTGCAGTGTGGGATTGCAGCACACACACACACACATGCACCTGTGGCCTATGATGACACTAAGTCTTCCTCACAGGATAGGGGAGAGGCGGGTTTGACCCCGCAGCACTTACACTCTCAGAAACAAGGGGCCCTTTTAAAAGGTGCCTGTGCCCCAGTGACAGCATTTGTACCTTTATTTCTGAGAGTGTAAGGACTTTAAAGTCTCTGCCAAATCAGGCCAGGATTATTGGGAATGCCACGAGCTCCTGCTGTGATCACACAAACATTCATTGGTCACAGAGTCGTCGCTATCTCTCAGCATTAGATGCGGACACTGTCTGTCGTTGTTCTGATCTAGGTCATGGTGGGTGGAGTCATGTGACGTCATAACAGCAAAAAGCCAAAACATTTGCATAGCTTCAAACCATGAGAATTCAGTTTGGGTTTAGAATTCAGTTTGGGGTTTCTCTCTCTGAACGAATGTAATACAAATATGGGCAATACTTTATAAGGTTTCATTAGTTAACATGAACTTACAATGAACAAGACTTCCACAGCATGTATTCATCTTAATGTCCCATACATTTATTTATACTTGATTAAAAGTCAGTTCTGTGAATGAACATGAACAAACAATGAAGAATTATATTTCACTAACAAAAATATGGTGCTCATTGTTATGTCAGCAAATGCATAAAGGTATAGCCTATGTATTATTCGGTTGAACTTTATGGTGCGTTTTTTTTCTGTTAAAACTACATCCTTTTTCAAGATTAATAATGATTTATAGGTTTTTCATTCAAATAATGGCATTTACATTCATTTAGAGGACCTTTATCTAAGCGGATATGATGAGATGTTTTTGAGAAGCTGATTGCTAAAAATATTTTGCCATGCCACGTCAAAGTCGTTATTAAAATTATGTTACAAAATGTGTAATATTTGTGAACGAGCTCAGCCAACAGGGAATATTCTCTGTACATTAGCAAACGTTCTGGTAAAGTTTTCTCAAAGTTATGAAGAAATGTTCTTCCAGTAATGTTAATAGAATGGTTTTTATTAAATTATCTGGTCTTTGATAATGTTCTCAAAACGTTAGGAAAAAAAAAACATAATTCCTGGAATGTTGGATGTTCAGAGAACATTCAAAAATAACAATCCCATAATGTTTGTAAAATGGATGGTTCCCTTAAAGGGATTGTTCCCCTAAAAAAAGTTGTTCCAAACCGGTATACATTTTTTTCTGCTGAACACAAAAGAAGATATTTTGAAGAATTTCGGTAACCCAACAGTTGATGGACCAACTGACAGTCAGTATTTTTTTGATATACTTTTGAAGTCAATGGGGTATTAAGCTTGTGTCTGCACCAGAATAAAAAAAAAAATATAAAAAAACGTTTTATCTCGCAATTCCTACATATAGGCTTACAATTGTGCAAAAAAGTCCTAATTGTGAGATCTAAAATCATAATTTTTATTTTTTATTATGTGGTGAAAACATATGGAAGCTTGTTTCCGCCACAGAATGAAAAATGAAAAAGGTAATTGCGACTTTTTATCTCACAAGATGCAATCTCTCAATTCTGACTTTATTTTTCAGAATTGCAAGATATAAAATCGCAAAATATAGAATTGCGAGATATAAAGTCAGAATTGCATGATAAAGTCGCAATTGCGTGTTATAAAGTCAATATTGCGATATATTAAAGGGGGGGTTGACTGCTTTTTTTATTTGCATAATTGTATTTATGGGGTGCAATAAAACATGTATTCGTGTTTTTTCTTTTTTTATAAGTCTTATTTTTCATAAACTTCAGCTTTATTGTCAGCCGCGCTCTCCTCTGTCCTCGAACGAGCGGTTGACTTCCTGATTCTATGAAAACACTCCCTCAGAAACACGT